CTCCAACCTTGATGGTTCTGTGATTCATACGATATGCCTTTTGTGCTCCAGATTTCTACTCATCAGTGGCAACAACAAGGTTTTGCATGTTTTTGTCAGGCAGAAGAAAACTGCAGAAATTTAAAAAATGTAACTCTTAATTTTAGATAAAAACTTCAAGTGGGCAAACACAGGAGCAGCTGTGTTTGGAAACACAGCCCATAAAGCAGATGAAGAAGATGGTGGTAGTGATGATGAGGTGGTGCATAGTGACGATATCCACTTTGAGCCGATCGTGTCCTTACCAGAGGTAAGATGACTTCTGGAATGTAAAACAACATTAAGAGCAGCATGTCTGCTAATACAGCAAGTTGTAAGAACTGTTTTGTGTAACTGACTTTGCTTTCTGTGCTGTGTGTACCTTGTATTTGTATGTCTTACACTGGCTGTGTAGAAACACCTGCATAGCACTGGGGAAGGGTCTGGTGCCTCAGGAAATTGGTCAACATTGATTTCTTTGTGCCTTGACAGAGTTGATCAGGATGCAGATTTTTCACATCACTTGTAAAAGCTAAAACATATATATAGCAACTGGAAATGAGGAAGGGGAAATTAATAACTGCTAGTGCTAGTACAACTCAGCTGTGGCTTTGTATCAGTGTCATGGTTTAACCCCAGCAGCAGCCAAGAAGCACGCAGACACTCACTCCCCCACCCATGGGATGGGGGAGCGAATCAGAAGGGTAAAAGCAACAAGAACTCATGGGTTGGGATAAAGACAGTCTACTAGAGAAAGCAAAAGCTGCACACACAAGCAAAGCAAAACCTTCCCTAAGACAGGAGGTGAGCAGGGCCCATCACGTGTAACGGTTCCTTGGGAAGACAAACACCATCACTCCAGATGTTCCCCCTTCCTCCTTGTTCCTCCCACCTTATATACTGAGCATGATGTCATATGGTGTGAAATATCCCTTTGGTCAGTTTGGGTCACCTGTCCCAGCTGTGTCTCCTCCCAGTCTCCCATGCATCCCCAACTTCCTTGCCAGCGTGGCAGCACGGAAAGCAGCAAAGGCCTTGACTCTGTGTAAGCTCTGCTCAACAATAACAAAAACATCTCTGCATTATCACCTCTGTGTTCTGCACAAAATCCAAACATAGCCCCATATTAGCCTCTGTGAAGAAAAGTTAACCTTACTTCAGCTCAAACCAGCACAATCAGTGACTTGTAGGTTCAGTTCTGTGAAAGCCCTGCCAGCTTACAATTTTTGCTTGAAGCAATGGAAGAGATTCCTGGAATCACTAAGCCAAAAGATGTGATTAGCCTCACCTGAAGGCTAAGGGAACTGACTTTGTTTGTTTGAAAAGAAATTGTTTTTCAAGAAGTAGGAGAACCTTCAGCTTTGCAGGTTGCCTTCTAACTTAGTGAGACTGCACACAGTTACTCATTTGGTATTGAGCCATAGTGTGCCTAATAAGCATTTCAGACTCTTTTGGTGTTATATTGTCTGGCTTTTCTATAAGTGATAGAATTTAACTATAGATTAGTAAAAATGATTAGGCAAGACAGAGCACAAATAAAGAGTAAGCAGTGTGTCCTGTAATTTGAACAGCTCATCTGAGCTAGTTTGTAACATATCTTCAACCACCTTCTCCAAAATTCAGTGTGCCTTGGCTCGTCTGCGTGTCATGACTTCTGTGATTTGCTTCCCTTCTTCAGTCTCATTTCTCCCTCCACAAACAGTTGCTTGTCCATGTATTTATCCAGTTCTCTCAAGTGTTTTTATCTTGGGAAGATGTGTTAAGTTAAGAAGGTTAGAGGCCAAGGTTATGCCATAAAGTGAGGAGATCAGGTTGTCAGGCCTCAGGTTCATGTGCTCAGTTGATGTTGATTCCCTTCAAAGGCAAATACTGAGCTCTTTAACAGTGTTCAAAAGGTAACTCGTGTCATGGTAATAGTGCTGTGTGTTCACTTCTCAGTGTGCACATCATTCAGCAAACCTGAAACTTTCCTGGGAAGCTTGCCAAAACACTTGACAGTGTGAAAACCCCATCAAAAACCAACCTACCCCCAAAGCAAAACCCAACACCCACCAAACCCTATGTGGCATGGTGAAGGAATATTGCAGTGTTATAATCAATCTCAAACAGTGTAATTTCTTGGGCTCTTAAAATTCTGCACACTCATTTTGGTGTGATGAATGTTGTGTTGGAGAAAGGAACACATTGAATACTTTTCCATTGTATATATCAGTATTGTAAGTGTATGTCAAAACTATGTGACATGGTTGGTGATAGCTCTCCAGGAAATCACAGGTACTCACTCTGCTGTGCTGGCTTTTTAGGTGGAGGTAAAATCTGGAGAAGAAGATGAAGAAATTCTCTTCAAAGAGAGGGCAAAACTTTACAGGTGGGACAGGGATGCTACTCAGTGGAAGGAACGTGGTGTTGGAGAGATCAAGATCCTCTTCCATACACAGAAGAAATACTATAGAGTCCTAATGAGAAGAGACCAAGTTCTTAAAGTCTGTGCAAACCATGTCATCACCAAAGAAATGAACTTGGTGCCCTCTGACACATCAAACAATGCTTTAATTTGGACAGCCACAGATTATGCTGGTGAGTTTTTCGGGTGGTTTGGGGTTTTTTTTTCCTAGGTGGTCTGTAGTTTCTGTGGCTTTGTTTTTACCCTGGAGACTATTATAAGATGAAACTAAAGAAGCTTTCCTCTTGCATTTATTTTCAGATGGTGAAGTAAAAGTAGAGCAATTTGCAGCCAAGTTTAAAACCCAAGAAATGGCTAATGCTTTCAAGAGGAGGTTTGAAGAATGCCAGCTGAGCTTGTCAGAACTACAGAAGGGACACTTGTCTCTGGCAGCAGGACTGTCAAAGGACACCAATCCTGTTGTGTATTTTGAAGTTTCTGCTGATGATGAACCTTTAGGACACATAACCATGGAACTGTTTGCCAATATTGTCCCTCAAACTGCAGAAAATTTCCGAGCCCTGTGCACAGGAGAGAAAGGATTTGGGTTCAAGAACTCCAGATTTCACAGAATAGTCACCGACTTCGTGTGTCAGGTAAGTACAGGAAGGGAATTCTCTGCACGGAGAGAATGAGCTGCATCTTCACTAACAGTGGCACTTCCACAAACCACTTATACAGAGTAGTACATTCTTGTTGGCAGCAAGGATCCACTGTGCAGGATGCTCTCACCTGCCCTTTCCCTGTAGGGAGATGAGAAATGCAGGAAGTGGCACATGGTGCCCTAAGCCAGATGCTTTTTACCTGTGTGTGTCAGCTGCCTCCTGCCTCAGTGTTATCTAGTGCTGTCAGGTTAGTGTGGAGGAAAGAAATGGAGGTGGAGAACTCCTCTTACAATGGGCAAGTGCTGAACAGAAACACCAAGGAATGTAGGTGTTCCCAAAACTAGCATTCAGCCTTTTCCCTCTACAGAGAGGGACTTCTGTATGCTTACCTGCTGAGAATGTTTTCCAGGCTTAGAATCACAGTCATCAAGGTTGGAGGAGACCTCTAAGATCACTGAGTCCAACCATTAACCTGTCACTGCTGGAACCCCTAAACCCTAAACCAGATCCTCCAGTGCCAGATCCAGATGCCTCTTCAACACTTCCAGGGATGGTGACTCCACCACCTCCCTGGCAACCTTTTCCAGTGCCTGACAGTTAACTGCACCATGTATGCCCTGACAACGTGTGAGCTTTTTATCCCATGAAGTCAGTATATTCCAAGCTTGGTCTGCTTTGCCTAAACTTTCTCCAGGTACAGTGAGTGAGAAGCTTTTCAGTGATAGTTAAGGCTTTCCTTCAAGATCAAATAACTTGGTGTCGTCTTTATGGGTGTAGTCAGATAACCAGGAGCCAGACACTTGGTGCCTTCCACAAAGATGAAAGCCCCACTGCCCATGCTGCTCTCCTGAGCAGCCAGTAATGTGGCAAAAACTGCAGGAAATGACTGGTCACTGGTACATTAAACTTTTTCTGGTGATCAGTTCTGTGCCTGCAGGGACTAAACAAGGATAGACCTTCAATGAGATTGTAAAAGCTGAGCTCTGCACTGAGTCACAGAATGAGTTAGGTTGGAAGGGACCACCGTGGGTCATCTGGTCCAACCTCCCTGCTCAAGGGAGCTAGTGATGCAGGCAGTAGGAAAGACAGTGTCACCATGTGGAGCAGGAAGGTAAAATGCTATGTTGAGAGTAAACAAGGGATGAACATTCTACTGCTGCTTTCATTACCATGAACGAACCTGCTGAAGCTGGGAAGCCTCATATCTACAGTAAACATGGCACTGGTGTAAGCAAAGAATGAGTTCTACCAAAGCAAAGCCTTTACTGTGCAAAGGGAATGTAATTGTTGATTTGTGTTTTGGGACTTGTCAGTTAATGCTGTGCCCTTTTTTCTTTTTTAGGGAGGAGATATAACTAACCACGATGGAACGGGTGGACGGTCAATTTATGGAACAGCATTTGAAGATGAGAATTTCGAAGTGAAACACACTGGTCCTGGATTGTTGTCCATGGCAAACAAGGGCAGGGATACAAATAATTCTCAGTTCTTCATAACACTTAAAAAAGCAGAACACTTGGACTTCAAGCATGTGGTATTTGGGTTTGTGAAAGATGGAATGGATGTAGTGAAAAAGATGGAATCCTTTGGTTCTCCTGAAGGGCTAGTACATGCAAGAATTGTCATTACAGACTGTGGGCAAATATAGAGTTATTTCTTTGAGTATACAGATGTTTTAGCAGTATCAATCAGTACTTAGATGTTATTGACTAATTATTTCAACTTCTTAAAATGGACACTTCTGATGTATAAATGTAAAATTACAGGTTATAGTTGGATTTTTTATGTGTTCTAATTGATTTTTTTTGCATGTTAAATAAAGTTCAGGCACTGGCATATTTCAGGTGTATTTGTGTTATCCTGACATTTGTATTAAGTGTCAAATTTTCAAAATTAAATCCTAGTCTTGTTAAAATAAATGTCTTGTCTTCACTTTGGTTTGTTTGAAAGAAAAATGCTTGCATAACTTGTCTAGGTACTGGGATGCATTGGGAAGAGCATTGCCAGCAGGTCAGGGAGGTGATCCTGCCTCTCTGCTCAGCCCTTGTGAGGCCACACCTGGAGGATTGTGTCCAGTTCTGGGCTCCTCAGGGCCAGAGGGACATGGAGCTCCTGGAGCAGGTCCAGGGGAGGGCAAGGAAGATGCTGAAGGGACTGGAGCACCTCAGTGATGAGGAAAGGCTGAGGGAGTTGGGGCTGTTCAGTCTCCAGAAGAGACGACTGAGACAGACCTCATTAATGTGTTCAAGTCCATGCACCTGGAGGATTGTGTCCAGTTCTGGGCTCCTCAGGGCCAGAGGGACATGGAGCTCCTGGAGCAGGTCCAGGGGAGGGCAAGGAAGATGCTGAAGGGACTGGAGCACCTCAGTGATGAGGAAAGGCTGAGGGAGTTGGGGCTGTTCAGTCTCCAGAAGAGACGACTGAGACAGACCTCATTAATGTGTTCAAGTCCATGAATGGGTGTGGTGTTGCAGGAAAACAAAGAAGGATTCTCCAGCAAACAAAGACTTCTTCACAGCTGCAGCTGCAAGCAGACATAGTATATAAATGTAACCTGTAGAGCTTAAGTAATGCTAAAATGAATAATAGGTATAGTTGTCCGCCAAGCTAAGAAAGTATACAAATGTAACTTTTAGAGTTTAGGTAATGGTAAAGAGAACAATAAGCATAGTTGTTCATGCACTGTATAAAAGATGGACGATCACTTACAATAAAGGAGTCTTGCTGGACACCATCGGGTGTGCATTTCTCCCGTCGATTTCCCACAAATGGGAAGTGCCAAGAGGATGATCAGACTTTGCTCAGTGGGGGAAACCAAGAAAACAAGAGGAAACAGCAAAAACTGCTGCCCAGGAAGTTTCATCTGAACACAAGGAAGAGCTTTCCTGTGCAGTCACTGAGCACTGAACAGATTGCCCAGAGAGGTTGTGGATTCTCCCTCACTGGAGATATTCCAGACCCATCTGGACACAATCCTGAGCCATGTGCTCTAGGATGGCCCTGCTGGAGTAGGGAGGTGGGACCAGATGACCATTGCGCTCCCTTCCAACCTCACTGACTCTGTGATTCTGACTTTGTGCTCTCATGAAACTTTTTAGATTATGCAGATTGTAGCTGCCAATTGCTGGACAGTAGACTGAAGACGTTTTAAAATTAGTGCTTGCTCCAATGTGCAGGAAGCAGGTGGATGTTGGTTTGTGCTGCCTGGAGCCTCTGAATATCACCTCTGTACATGAAAGCTAGAGACTGGTCCTTAAACTTACTGATCAGTGATTTGCTGGATGAGCATAACTTTTTTTTGTTTAGTGTATTTTAAACGGAATTGTTTAGTGAATAACATATACTTTACCTTGGGATTTTACCTGAAATGCTGTAGTAAGACCCCCTGCTACTGTTCTGACATTGCTATTCTCAGCCTGTGCTCAGTATTTATTCAGTTCCTGTGGCAAACCTCTCTGCCCTCACTGCAGGCTGCAGCTCACAGCTACTAGGCTGCTTTTACGTTGTAAAAGTTTGCTTCTCAAAGAGTGAGTGTGTGTGGATAAATGTGGGGTTGATTTAAACTGATACTGGGGTTAATCTAAACTGATCCAGCTGAGTTCTGGCATTACTGAGTTTTTTTCCTTGAGCACAAGTGCCATGAGGAGAGGCTGAGGGAGCTGGGGGTGTTCAGCCTGGAGAAGAGGAGGCTCAGGGGAGACCTTCTCACCCTCTGCAACTCCTGACAGGAGGTTGGAGTCAGGTGGGGGTTGGTCTCTTCTCCCAGGCAACCAGCAGCAGGACAAGAGGGCACAGACTCCAGCTGTGCCAGGGGAGGTTTAGGTTGGATATTAGGAAGAGATTTTTTA